TTTTTTCTTTCTCCCGTATGATTTTTAACACCTTCACCTGATGAAGAAGCCAATGGAGCTTTGAAAACTTTCAACATGTATAATGCACATTTTGGTCGGTCCAATAAAGGTATCAATTTTTGTGGATTTTGGAAGATATTGTACATAACAATGTTATGTTATCTTACTTTATTTATTTATTTATTTATTTATATATTTATTTATTTGACCACATTTCACCCAGTTTTTATCTGTGAAATGTCAGACAATATGTTGTTGCAGCTCGGATTAATGACTGGAGAAAGCATATGATACATTTTCTACACATGCTCATATACATATTCGTGATGCATGCATTATTCTTTCTATCTATATCTATCTATAAACATATTGAAAAGACAGTGTGATGTATACTGTAGAATTAATGCAGTCTGACACCACTTTAACTGCCGTGGCTCAATGCTATGGAATCCTGGGATTTGTGGTTTTGTGAACTATTTAGTCTTCTCTGTCAGAGAGCTCTGGTACCCCCAACAAACTACAAATTCTAGAATTCCATGGATATAACCATGACAGTTAAAGTAGTGTCAAACTGCATTAATTCTGCAGTGTAGCAGCAGCAATGGAGGCTGGTCTTTTTGGACAACCCATGAAAAATCATTCCATCAGCTTGCAAAGTGTTTCTTCCAGCTCCTCCCTTTTCTGCCTTTCCCAAGGCATCAACACCTCTCTGCTTTTCCATTCCCATGACACTTTTTCTTTATGATGATGCAGCTGCATATCAGGTTGATAATGAGATGCTGAAGAATTGATGAGAGCCTTGACTTGACTGGAATGGATGACTCATTCTCTCAGTCTATGAAGCTGCTTGTCATAGGATAGTCTTTATTTATTTATGACATTTATATGTTGCTGTTGTATACCTTCAAGTTGTTTCTGACCATAAGATGACCCTCTTATGGCAAGACTTGTTCAAAAGTGTTTGCCACGGCCTTCTTCTGAGGCTGAGAGTGTGTGACTTGCCCAAAGTCACCCAGTGGGTTTCCATGGCCGAGCAGGGATTTGAACTCTGGTCTCAAGAGACATAGTCCAATGTTCAAACCACTATACCATGCTGGCTGTCCAATATGTCTATAGATAGATATAGATAGAAAGAATAATACATGCATCACATATATGTATATGTGTATGTGTAGAAAATGTCTCATGTGCATTTCAAACATTAATCTGAACCACAACAACATACTATCCAACATTTTACAGAAAAAGTGGGTCACATGTGGTCAAATAAATGAATAATGTAAGATAACATTTAATGTTATATCCAGCCTTTTCCCAGCACAGCTTACAATCAGTTAAAGGAAAGTACAGCTAAAAAACCCCAACAACTATGAGTACAGAAAAATTAAAATATACACAACTCTATTAAAGCACAACCAATCCAATTAAAACATTAATTGAAAACATTTAAAATACATTAAGCAAATATTGGGTATTAAGATGTAGAGTGAATGGAAGCTTGGAACTATAACAATAACATAATAACGTAACTTTATTATACTGTTGTAACAAGTCAGCTGAATATGGTACAGTTAATGAAAAAAGAAATCCTTATACATCAACTGAACTTTAAACTCAGCCAAACTTAAATTTTTAGCAGGAATATATGTCAAAGTGGAGCCAGTCCTCCAGACCACCCCTGCCACCCCCTCACAAATGGCAGTAAATGCAAAAATAAATGAATAAATAAAAATCTGTTTGAAATAGTTCCTCTTATAATGAAATGCATATGTTTCATAATCTGAAGGGTTTGGCAGCAATTAAAAGAGATACATTTGAACTGATCAGAAAATAGATGTCTATCTAGATGTCAGGTAGTACTTAGTATTATAGCTTAAGCAAGCAAGTTTTATGAAACATTTGTAGAACTCTGCATTTATTTGATTTTCATGTCCCTATAATCTGAAAATATTGCATCATGCCGTTTCCCCCCCCCCTTTTTTTTTTTTATTTACTGAATGATGGTACAAGGTTCAGCTCCTCTGATTCATTGTTAGAGGCAGCTCTGGTTCTCAAAGTCTATGCCAGTGTAGTTCAAGATCTGGCAGGTTCTGCCAGGCTGGCAAGGTATCACTTGTGGCCCTAAAAGCAGATAGTGTCATTATTATCCAGGGACCTGCCTAGGTAGGTATGGAAAGAGTCAATGTGCACAGTCTGACCAATTGGCTCTCATTATCCACAGATTGTTTATCCATGGATTCAAACATCCACGAGTTGAAAATGTTTAAATAAATATATAAATTCCCAAAAGCAAATCTTGTTTGGAGACCCAGTTATACCATTGGCCTTTGATGGCTACTTCAACAAAAGGGCTGGAATGCTTCTCTGTTGTGTACCATCTGCTGCATCATTTACCATTAATAAAGCCTTCCTTACAGCAGTAATGCAATGTGTATTAGTGTCCAGCACCAAAAAAAGTTGCAGGGGTGGGGTGGAACTACAGTCAGTAGTGGCAAAGAGCAAGATACAAAAACATGGCAGGACTGCCAAGTGAAGATGATGACATGTGGACTTTACATAAACTTCCATGAATGAGGTAGTGTGATTATGCAGTCTAATTTGAAAGCATCACCAGACCCCATATGTTCTAACTATAACAAACCAAGAATGGTGCCAAAGTAGAGATGGGCTCAGCCTCCTTCCTCCCTGAAACGATTATTTAGAAGAAGGAAATGAAGGCTTTGAAAAGAGCCTCAACCTGAAGATCCTAGACCTGCATCTGATGGCTTTCCATTTTATTAACTGGGAAATTTACCGCACATCACCTGGGTAGATGTTGATGATTTTAGTTATGATTTGAAGGAAACAAATGTTCGACTGGTGGTTCCTTCAGTCCTTAGAGTCTATTTCACAGCAAGTTCCATATAAAATCAATCAAAACCACCATTTTCATGAAAATGCAAAAGTTTGTTAATCAGTTCTGAACTTGCACAAAAATATTTGAACTATCAGCCTAAGTTAGATGCTAAATTTGGTCAGTACCAAACCGAGTTGCTAGTGGTCCACTTCTGGTCTCACAAATGGGTATTTTTTGATGTTAAACAGTACAGGGACACCTTGAACTGGTAGAATGGCCTGGGACTCAACTACAGTGCATATAAATTTGTCTTTAGAACAAAGCTGCCCCAAACCCTGCCTTTTCTAAGCTATTGAGTGTAAAGAGCAGGCACCAGCTGCTCTCACAACAAATGAACCCACAAGCACTTAGTACACAGCCAAGTGGCCACACATTACATACCAAATGCTGCAAGGGTGTGTCTGTTGCAAGGGCAAGTGATAGCCACTCTTCCTGCTCTCAGATCCCCAGGCCTAGGTGAGTGAGGTGGGCAGTACATAAGGCAGGCCTATATTAAGGCCAAATCACATCTTGTGAAGGCAGGTTATGACTTAAATTGGACTTTATAAAAGTCTTCAACAATTTACAGATAAAACTGGAAGACATGGTCAAACAACATGATTGCAAAAACAATTAATGGGGAAGAAAAGACAAGCTAGTAGAGGCAGCAGCAACTTCCTTTTGCCTGAGCCTACTGGGAAGGGCAAAATTCTGCTCTCCCCTCTACTCCCTGCTGAGTTAACTGAGTGCAGACTATTTTTGCACTTTGAACTCTGTACCAAGGAAAGCAAGCTGAGGACAAAAGGATAAAATGGCGGGGGGGGGGGGGGGAAGTGAGAAACTGGGGCATTTTTAAAGGACTTTCCCTGTCAAATCAGGACATTTGGAAAGGTATGCTTTATATTGCTATTTGAAAAACCTGGCAACCCTAACTGGGGGCTTAGGTTTGTTTGTTTTTTTACCAGGGTCTAACCCTGATCTATAAAAACTGAGCTCAGATACGCCCCAAAATTAATTTTCTTGCCTCACAAGTGCCTCATGTCAAACATTACTCTCACAATCAACAATGTGATACAATATAGTTGCACAAAAATAACACTGTATTTATTACAGATCCTTTCAAAGACATTTCTTTTCTTTCCGTTTCTGTTTTATATGTTTGGGTGGTCTTTTAAAAACACACACACACACACACACACACACACACAACCTTATTGTAGACACATGAAGACTGTTAGCAATGAGAACATTTGCTCAAGCAGCTGTCACATCCATGCTCAGCCAGAAAACTGTTTGCTTTTGATGACTGCACCACTTGCTACCATCCACAAAATGCAAAAGCATTGTTTTCAAAAGGCCTTTATTTACATTGTTCACATGGAGTTGGCAAGGACGTATGTTGTTCATTAGAAAACATAGCTGACTTCAAAGGAGTTTTCCATAGGCAGAGGAGGGTGGGAGGAACTATAATTCCTTGGTTAGAATAAAAAAGCCTGGAGCAATCTCCAGACTTAAAAGCGTTATAAACATTTAACCTCATGACTGCAGAAAAGAAGAGTACAGTATATACAAGATGCATCAGTCTGATGTTGCATTGCCTTCAAATTGTACACAAACTTCCATTCAAAAGATGATGTCCATGCAAGAAGTTAAGTTCAGAAGTTGTGGGTTCTGTCATCACAAAGACATATATGTGCTCTCTGCTCTGAAAACAAATACAAAGACAAAAACAGAAAATTAAAATAATCAGCAATGTCCATCCCATTTTGCAGTTGCAGAGTTCTCCATACAGTTGCAGAGTTCTCCCATTTTGTTATGAGTCAACAAGTAGACTCATTGGAGAGCCTCTTCAAGTGGCAGACATTGATGGGCAGCACCATCCTCTCAGCTGTTTTTCCTGAACCACCCAGTTAGCTCTGGTCAGTGGCATCCCTAGGGTTGGTGTCACTCAGTGTGGTAACTCATGGTATCACACACCCCCATTGACCTCCTCCCATACCACATCATACAGAACCCTTAGTCATGTTTTTGTATTAATGTTACCCATAAATCGTAATTCCAATATATCACTGAATGTGGTAATAGTTGTGACATAAACAACTAGCACAGTTAAAATTATACTATTAAATTACAATATCATCTGCACGACCTAAATGTATTTAAATATACATAGGGCCTTTACAAACTGCCAGAAATAATGCAGCTTGAGGCCACTTTAATTGTCCTGGTTCAGTGCTAAGAAACCATGGGAACTGTAGTTTATTGTGGTACCAGAGCGCTCTGACAGAGAAGGTTCAATGTCCCAGAAAAAATACAATTCCCATGATTCCCTAGCACTGAGCCAGGACAATTAAAGTGGCCTCAAGCTGCATTATTTCTGGCAGTCTGTAAAGGCCCATAGTTTCACGTACTTAAAATGAAAATTTGGTAAAATCTGATCTAAAAATCTAATTTTTTTGAAAAAATAAAAATATATATTTTTTAAAAAAATTGAAATTTTAATTTTAAAAAACTGGGGCCTCCCCTTTCTTCTCTCACTTAGCCTCACTCCACTCATAGCATTTTAGCATTTTAATGGGACACAGGTAAATGCCACAACCCATTTCTACCAAAAGGCAGATGTTTGAGGAGCAGTGATGTCACTCCCTTCTTAGTGTGTCACCTGGTGCATTCTGCACTCCCCACAGCCCTCTAGTGATTCCATTGACTCTGGTGAAAAACAGAAAAGTGTAGCCGGCCCTCCATATCCACGGATTCCACATCCACAGATTCAGCTATCCACAAAAACTCCAAAAAGCAAACCTTGATTTTGCTGTTTTATATAAGAGACACCATTTTATTATACCATTGTATGTAATGGGACTTGATCTTCCATGGAATTTGGTATCTACAGGAGATCCTGGAACCAAACCCCAGTGGATACCAAGGGCCCATTGTATATGTTATACATCCTGTCTTGGACTTTCTAAACTCACCTGCTGACTGTAGATTCAGTGGAAGATCCTACCCTATTACTCTTTATGAACTTAGAGCCATTGGGTCAGCCCTATGAGTTACTAATTGTATTCACACTCATGTGTGCCAGCTCTCAGCCAACTACATAATGACACCAGGTATCCTACAATGTGTCTATACACTGCAGGTAATAGAACCACATATAATTGCAGTTCCCAGGCAGTATGTGCTCCACACTACCTGATGTGATAAAGGTTTGTTTGCTGTC